GGTGGTACACACCAATTTCGCTGGGCGCGATACATATTGCAGGGGACATATGTAGATTAAGATTGGCACCAGTTTTAGCTGCCCATACTATGTTTTTCTTTTGTTTTGGACAATTTTTAGTAAGAAAACAGCATAAAAGCAGCAAAAATGTGATCTTCAAATGCCTATATCTCCGGAACCGTTTGAGCTACACCGCCCAGATTTTGCACAGAGGTAGGCCATATTGGTAACTAAATTATCGTGAAGCATAACTATTTTCGAAAAACATCGAAGAAAATGTCACAAACTATGTGTACCTTCCTTACTTGATTTTCGACTTGGATTTCGGACCGTTTCAACAATTTTTTCGACCCTTCTCATATTTTTAGACGATTAAGGTATCTATGCGGACTACCTCTGTGCAAAATCTGGGCGGTGTAGCTCAAACGGTTCCGGAGATATAGGCATTTGAAGATCACATTTTTGCTGCTTTTATGATGTTTTCTTACTAAAAACTGGCCAAAACAAAAGAAAAACATAGTATGGGCAGCTAAAACTGGTGCCAATCTTAATCTACATATGTCCCCTGCAATATGTATCGCGCCCAGCGAAATTGGTGTGTACCACCTAGCGCAGCGACTCGGTTTGAACCCGAATCGCAACCGAAACCGTCGCTACTCGACCCGACCCGGCACGATCCGGTTATTCCACACCAGGACCGAGCCGAATCCCCGAAAGATCAAACGGTTTAGCCGATCCCTCCCCCACCTCCGGCTGCTATGTCAGCCGCGCGCTGTCATTGGCCCGTTGACTCGGCCGGCTGCTAGGGAAGAGATGGATCTCGAAAGAACCGGTTCAGATGGACCCGGTTGCTGCGCGACGGGACCGAGTGACCCGAAAACCAAAGCGCCAAAATCGGGTGTAGTAGAACCGAATGCTCGCTGCGCTGTGGTGGCGTACGAACCCTATTGCCAGCTATGAGACTCTACTAAAACGCCAAAAAATTCGGAAGCAATCGGGTCCGAACCGAGTCGCTGCGCTCAGGCCAGCGTCGGATTGGTTGCGGTCGCTTTGCAGATAGGTTGGATGAGCTGCCGATGCGGGACACAACGCGGATGAGTTGGATACGTGCGGAGACGAAATGGATATAGTGGATGATGCGGATGCGGATGACGCCTCCGCAGTGCATTCGCAACCAATCCAATGTATCCAGAATGCAAGAATGCATCTGCAGTGCATCCGCAATCTATCCGATGAGTCCAGGAGGCATCCGCAGGACACCCGCAGTGCATCTTCACCCTATACGATGCATCCAAGATGCATCCGCAGTGCATCCGCAGTGCATCCGCAGTGCATCCGCAACCTATCCGATGCATCCAGGATGCATCCGCAGTGCATCCGCACCGCATCCGCAGTTCATCCGCAACCTATCCGGATGCATCGGATGACTTTCGGATGCACTGCGGATAGGTTGCGCATTCATCGGATAGGTTGCGGATGCACTGCGGACTGCGGATGCGTTGGATATGCTACGGATGCCATGCGAATGCACTACGGATGCATCGGATAGGTTGCGGATGCAGTGCGGATGACTACGGATAGCGTACGGATACAGTGTATATCTCCTAAACGGTAAGAGATAGAGCAAAACGGATGTGGTGGATGGTTCGTGGATGGGGTCGGATAGGTGAGGATGAAGTTCGGTCGGATGTGTGTCGATATAGTACGGATGAAATTGCGAGACGTGTGAACGAAAAGTGGATAATATTTGGATTTAAACGGATGTATTTGGATGCAATTTGGATGCAGTGGGTATCCAAATACGTATCCAAATTGAAACAAACATGGATGTGCCAGGTATCCAAAAGTCGTCCACATCCCACCTGCAGAGCGCTTCCGCATCCCATCCGATCCAGTCCCTTCAGGGTTGAATTTACGACAAAAGTGTAGACCGTAATTCAGGATACTGTAAGTAGCGTTTGCCAAAACCTTCAGAGTACCGTTAACGTTGGCTGCCGCGAAAGCATAGGCCTGGCCGTCCTGGACGAAAGGCTGTTGGGTGTTGCACACATAGGCACTGCCGCCAGCGCAGCCGCTCTGAGTGTTGGCGTCCACCACTGTCGCGCCGCCCGCCGCACACGTTTCCACCGGCCCCGTCACACTGCCAGCGTTGGCGCTCCAGGCGCAAGTGGTCTTGCAGCAGTCCCAGTACCGCGTCGTCGTGGCTGTGCCTGTCTGCCGACAAAACCATCTGAAATAGCG